AGCTTCATCGTAGAATCAGCGTGCGCGTGAAGAGGTGCAAATGAGCGTGGATTTGGCAGCACTTTTTCTAGATGCCCCTCCCCCCCTTATTGGAGCTGCCTGCAGTGGGGGCCTTTCGCCAGCAGTGGCGTGAAAAAAGTACGTATGTATGTTGAACTTCTTCTTCCGTACGTAGCCAACCGCGCTAATCGGAGGTGCGGGGGGGGAAGGGCAAGAAACTAAACACAAAAAGCACTTCTCAAGAAAAATACATTGCAGGGTTGCTGTGCATTTGCCTTTTACCATTGGTGTTTTTTTCCACGCTTCGTGGCAGGGTAGTGTCGGATGCTTGTACATTTTGAATTACCATGATTAATTGTCAACGGACCGATGCGCAACATCTCCTACGAAAATGGGACAATTTTTTTTTTAAAGGCAACAGGAGAGCGATTGTGGCCATACAAGCCAAACTATGGACCCGCATAGTGAATCCCTGTAGTTTGCACTCCTTTAACAGAGGAGGAAGAGCAAAACTACACAGCCTGTCTCAAGAAGCCCTCTTCATCGTGGCCAGCAGACCTCGACATTGGCATTAAGCTCATGAACATAATGCCAAACGCAAGAATAGTGTTCTAATAATAATGCGTCGTGCTTAATCTTTTCCACTTGAAAGGTTTTGTGCTGTGGAATGTGTTTATACGTTTGATTGTTTACATGACGTAATGCTGCCTCGATAAATAATTGAAAGGTTCTTTTGTACCATTCTTGTACCCACCCCCACAAGCCCCCCTCCTCATCCACCCGGGAGTCGCCCTTGAATGAAAGCGAGGAGGAGGTTCGCCCAATGGGCCTTCCACCCGCCGGGGATACCAAAAACAATTGAAGATCTACAATAAAACCATCTACGATAAATTGTAAATCTTGTGGGTTTACTCTACAACACACTGGTGTGCTGAACTAGGAACGAATTGGCATGTTTTGTTTAAGTGACAAACCTTACTAATTGGCTGTGTCGGGTGGTGATGGCGGGTTTAACGACACATTTATATATACGCGACCCTAACCCAAAAACCTCGATTATCAACTATAAAAGATTATAATTTTTCCTATATTTCTTCATTTTTTCACCGACCCAGTTAATCTGCAACCCGCGTAACCTGCCCACGGATAATCGGGCGTCATCTGTGCATCGATGGTTTGCGTAAGAAGTAACGATGATTATGATGATGATGGTAGTGGTGGTGACGGTGGTGAGGATGACAACCCATTTCCAATTCAATTTACATCAGAAGAAAGACGACTCGCGTTACGATAATAAAGTCACGTGGGTTCCGAAAGTGCAACCGTATTCAACTGAGTTGTTTTTCCAGTAAATATATTTATTTAAAACCCAAAATGAATCGTAAAAATTCGCATTCCCATTTTCTGAGTGTTTAGCACGAAATAAATCATTAGCGTCCTCCTCCAGAATAAAACTACTTCACTAAATAAGCAGTCAAGGCCGTGCAGCTAATGGAATGTGTAGTAGTAATAATAATACTTTTATTTTTCATGCGGAGGGAGAGATAAGCAGGAGGCATAATTTCTGCTAATTTATCTATTTTAATATTAGCCACACTAAGAGACATCCCATGAATTTTAATATACAGTATAATTTATATACTGTGTAAATGTACTTTTTTTATTGTAATCAATAAAATAAAAACATTTACAGCCTTTTGTCCAGCCACTGCTGGATGAGGGCCTCCACCCGAGGCCTTGTCGGCCATGAAGGGCCCTTTGACCATACTTTCACCACGCCGGTCAGTGCGGCTTGGCGAAGAGCTGCGGATTTGGGGGTAAAGTGGCAGTGCCGACTGAACTGTTTCACTCACCGCCGGCAACATCGGTGGCTGAGAATCGAACTCGGCTTCGCTGGTTGCTTTCGATGCGACACTGCAAGCTCACACCACTGCCTGCCGCCGCCACCGCTTCAGGCAAAAAACAAAACACCGGCGCCCAGTTGACGCTCACGCGCGTACAGCTCTCCCTTCGCTTCATGCGGGGAGTAGCAGTGGATGCGTTCCAAAAAAGGTGCACGAAGCGAAAACGGCCGAGTAGCGCGGATGGTACACACGGAGTACACACACGGAGAACACACACGCGATGTAGCGCCACGTCCAACCGCATCACAGCACGCGAGGGAATTCAAGCCTGCATGATAGAGCGAATATTTTGTTAGAAATGGGTTCGCCGCAGAGAGACGCGAAAACCGCACAAAACCCAACAGGCGCCGAGCGAGGGGCAACCTGGACTCTGATTTGTGCGTGCTTCGTGGTGATTGAGGAGCTCGGCGGTAAGCGAATGTTGTTGTGCGCACGGAAACTTTTGAAGGTGCGGACACAATGACCTCTTGCCCCCCACCCCACTTAAACCTTAATGGGCCAATAGCCCCAACAAATGAGCGAACGGACGCACCTCTCCTCGTGTTTGACAATCCTTCTCCATTCAAAAGTAAACTAAGCGCCCCCCCCACCGCCATCGAGTACTGGCTAAGCGTTCATATTCTGCTGATATTGGCAAAAATATAAAGATATAAACAGGGCCGACGTCTCATCTAAGGTTACAAACTAACCGGGACACGTCGTGGGGAAAATGAGAATATCTCACCAAAACCAAACGAGGGGAGAACTCCGCGCGAGGTTTTTGCCTCTCTGCGTTGACCGAGGTCCAATATTTCATACGGAGTGCTCTAGCCAATAAACATCCGGTTAAGCGGCCAGCATTTTGCTGAACAACGCCGACTCTTCTTGATGAGAAGCAGAAGGCCAAAACCGGCCCGCAGTTGGCTTGCTTTCACGAACGTTGCGTGATTATATTGGTGTGTCGAGGCAATAGGCTGATGGACTCACACTTATTGTTATTTATATATGTGGAGAGACAGAACGGGATTCTGCAAATACTCACGCATTGCAAGGTATAAGTGTGCGTGCATGTGACTGAGTATTTGGCTGCAGTACATTTCCACGTGATGACAAGCCACTTCGTTGAGCTATCATTTGTGATTTTTATTTTATTTTTACTTTACTTTTATTAATTTTAATGTTTTACCTACGTGACTTTACCGAAAAAACCTAAGAATACTATCATTTGTGGCCAGATTCCTTCAGAAAAATAGCTCTACAGCTCAGTGGGCCTTACTTGGTCAAATAAAAAACATGGTTTAGTTTAGACCAGTGTTCTTCATTGCAAGGGCTCTGGTGGCCTTTAGTGTGGCACCTGACATGCGGCCTCCAACAAAGCACAAATGATGACAACACCCCTTGCAGGCGGTGTGGCGGCCCTCAACACTGACGTCGTCTGATGGGCCACTTCTGCCGAGAAAATGAGTGAAGGAACACTGGTTTTAGGCAGTGTTGTCTTGAGTGGTAAATTACACTGGTCAACAAAAAAAAACATTTTTTTTCTGGCCTGGACTTTTGCAGCTGTTTTAGACTAATTTCAGGGTGCTGATTCCAAATCTGATCTCAGATTTGCTCTATCACATCATTTTTATGCTATCGGCATACCCCATTTTCATTGATTTTACCCGAAATTAACTCTGTCACTTATGATTGCAAGTTGTTGCGAGTCAGTGACTGCTTTAGTGTTAAAATATGGTGCTGTATTTTTAGGATAGTGTGTTTATAATATCATTTTATGTAGATATCCACATTTATTTAATATTTTTCTTCTGCAGTTTTTATTGAAAATGCAATATTTTACATCTCTAAACCTGATGTGATAGACAAAAACTGATGCCAGATTTGGAATCATCACCCCAAAATTACATTAAAACCGTTGGAATACCTTATGCCAGAAAAAGTGTGTTGACCAGTGTTATTGAGCAACTGACACAACACCAGGGCTATTGGTTGTTCTGGGAAGACTTGACAGATTTCCCGACACAGCAGCTACCTCCTGGCAAAACCGGGACAGGTGGCAACCCAGCCGCCGTTTCCGCTAATCCAGCGGTGACTCGTACTCAACCAGCAAGTCGCCCGGGCTCCGTCTCGGCCGTTCGTGGGAGACGCGAAATTGGCCCGACTCTAAAACCAGGTGGTGGGCTTGTGGTCCAAAATTAGAATACCTGGCAAAAACTCCTTTGAGGATTTTTTCCACTTTCATGTGACGCACGGCGGGGTGATTTAGCCCCGTTGCCGGTTGGAATGCGGAGGTATCTGTTGCTTTTTTTGTGTGCGTGTGCCGTCGGGGGCGCTGGGACATTGCGGACAGACCGGTTCCTCTGGGAAGCCGCACGGATTCCGCGGGGCTGGAAAACCCCACGGCGGCGTTTTTCCTCGCGCCCACAAACAGTCACTGAGCAAAGTACTCCACCCCCTTTGGGAAGCGCCGGAGGAGGGGTCACAGGTATCGGGTCAACGTGAGGGCTCGTGCCAGCGGCTGGTTGTCTAGCAACAGTGGCTTTCCGCTGACCCTTACGTGACAATGGCTCAGTAGTAACAGTGGCGTGTGGCTAGTTGGCTTGCGTTAGGGCTATTCATCGTGAGTGACTAGATGGGTATATGGTTACAGCGAGGGTGATAGTATTTGTGACGGCCTACCTAGTCATGGTTAGGGGTACGGCGAGTACAAGTGGCCGGGTGGCTGGTTGGGTAGGGTTCAGATCATTGCTCGTACTCGCGGCTGGTGACAATTGACAGAGCATTTCATTGCGCGTTGGTGAGTGTTCGGGGTAGGGGCAGGACAGGTGTGTGATTGGCTCATACGCTCGGCCATTTCAGTTTGGGGCGAATTTTAATTTCAATGTCTGCGCCGACCCCTCGACTCCCGCAACATGGGAGTGGTGGATCCGGGTCGGGTGCAGGGTGCAGTTACAATGGGAGAAATCCCCCCTCTCCCCCCCCATCCTTTGAGATGACAAACTATATATTGTATTGACATTTAGGAGAGAAAATAGTGTTTTGTGTCTCTTGATGTAGGGCCCTATTTCCTTCCCCAGGAGGTTCATAGATCCTCCTGAGCACCGTCGCGCGCCTCACCCGGGTAGAAGTCCTTGGACTTTGAGAGCTTGATGGTGGCTCCAGTCTCCTTCTGCAGCTGCACGATCGTCTGGCCACCCTTGCCGATGATGGAGCCGGCGGCGTAGCTGGGGATGAGCACCTTCATGTAGAACTGCCCCTCGTCTGCTCCAGCGGGAGTGGTGGTGGTGGTCGTCGTCGAGGCGGCAGCGGTGGTGGTGGTAGTGGCGGTGGTGGTAGTGATAGTGATGGTGGAGGCGGTGGTGGAGGTGGCAGTGGTGGAGGTGGTGGTAGGGGGTAGTAGTGGTGAAGGTGGTGGTGGGAGTAGCGATAAAAGTAATTATTGAGGTGGTAGTGAAGGTGGTAGTGGTGATGGGGGCGGTGGTAAAGGCAGTGGTGGTAGTGATAATGATTGTGGTGGAGGTCGTGATGGTCGTGGTGGTGTTGGTGGCAGCGATGAATATAATGATTGAGGTGGTGATAGTGGTGGTGGTAGCGGTCATGAAGATAATGGTTGAGGTGATGGTGAGGAAGGTGGTGGAGGTGATGGTTGAAGTGTAAGTGGTGGTAATGGAGATATAGATGATGGAAGTGGAGGTGGCGGTCGTGATGGTGGTAATGTTTGATGTTGTGGTGGTGTTGGTGAGGGAGGTGGTGGAGAAAGTGGTGGCGTTTGTGGTGATGGTGGTGGTGGTGGCGGTGTTAGTGGTGGAGTAGCAAAGGAGGTGGTTGTGGTGGTGAGGGAGGTGGAGATGGTGGTGGTGATAGTGGCAGGGGTGTTGATACCAACAGTGGTGGCGGTGGTGATTGTAATGATGGTGATGGAGGTAGGGATAGGGTTGAGAGGCATTGGTATAACACATGAATGACAGACACCCTTCAACAAATACTAAACTCAAATCTGCTCACCTAACAAGCCAAGCAAATCACAGCTTGATGATAGAAATAAGAACATTAACTCATACTGCATTGTCTTACACATCCCTTTTTCATGGGAGATGAGAACGGTAATTCTAAGTCAAATAATTCCAGTAGGAAAAAAATAAATTAAAACGACAAAATATAATCAGCCAACAAATTGCAACAATTCGATGAAGTTAAGTACGTGCACAAGGGTTGGAGCAGTGGCACAGTGGTTAGTGCAGAAAACACCAATAAAGGTACCGTGTAGCCTCATTGAGTCACAAGATGCTTGTTTTTTTTCTCTCTCGCGTGGGTCCCTATGCCAGGTGCTCATTTAACACTGAGTTGACCTAGAGGAGACCCAGGATGGTTTGTTTAACCAGGTGAGAACGCAAGAGACCAGGATAGCCTCGTCTGCAAAATGCGACCTGTGTTATCAAAATGACAGGCGGTTGGATGTGAACCCGGGGCCCGTGGCTCCCAGCTCCAGGCTCAATGGACTCGGCTACGGTACGATGCGGTAGTTGGGGGTTAAGATTACGGTGGGTGGGTGGTGGGGGTGAAGATTCCTCTGTGCACGGAGGTTGTGCGTGGCCAGATATTGTACCCAGCTTTCCAGGATCTAGCAAAGTGAAAAAAAAACCCACTGCACAATCACTCCAAAGACAAATCACCCTGTGTAGCCCTAACAGACTGTTGGGGCAAGTGCTGTTAGCGAGCAATTATTTAGGACCGCGACAGCACACGATGGGGTGGGTGGCCAGAAACACGCCCGGCCGCCTTTGTATCCCCAGTGGCGATGTTTACACACACCGCTACACCAGGTACTCATTTGAGGCTGAGTCGACCTAGGGGAGGCCCAGCACCGGTTCAGTTAATCGTCACCGGTGGTGTTGGCCGTGAGCGGCAATCGAACTCGGGTCGCCGGGTTTGTAGCGCAGCGCACTAACCACCGCGCCACCGCTCCGCACTCACGCGCACACACTCGCGCGCACTCCAAACCCTGCCGTGTTCAATGTCGCTGCGTCATTGCTCACAAAAGGCGAGGTTGGAACGGGAGCGCACCGGCGGTGCCACGGCTGAGTGCATTCAGCTGCGCTCACTGTAGCCGCCGACGCGCTGCTATTCCCAACGGAGTCGAGGCAACACAAAACGCGAACGCAGTGACCACCCCCACCCCCCCCCAACGTTTCGCAAGGGACCTCGCCCGCCCGGTTGACCCGACTACGAACATCCCCTGTTAACCCCCGGGCAGCACTGAAGAACGACGGATGCGAAGACGATGCTTTGGGGTTTCCAACGCCTCTTAATTCTGCTCGTTACCATGTACTTCTGGAGAAGAAATGGTTGGATTTTTTCGATTTAAAGCTTTCGTGACCGCAGGGATTCATCTTCTTGGTTCTTTCGGTAAAGTCACGTAGAAGGGAAGAATTTTTATTTTATAGTTTTCTTTTTATTATTTTATTATTTCCCTTCTACGTGACTTTACCGAAAGAACCAAGAAGATGAAATGGTTGGATATTTTAGATATCGCAAGTGTTCTGTATTTCATTTTATTTTAGCCATTTTATTGTATTTGCATTGAGACCTGCACTGATGATGTATCATCATCATCGTCGTCGTCGATGATGATGATGCTTGAATTAATTTGATGATGAAGATGATGATGGTGGCAATGAGGATGATGGCCCACAGTGAGTTTGATGAAGGTGGTGATGATGATGATCATGACAATGCATCAATGTGTCTGAGCCTCTTGGCTTTGCATCATCACCATTTCATTACAGTGTGAGTGACGTTCATTGCCGACGAGCAATCAATTAGACCGCTCTCTTTCCTAATTCTCCCTCCCCACTACACACAATGCTGCCACTGTGCACGCGAAACACATACGAGTAATGATTCACGTAAATAGTCGGAGTTACGATTACAGCGTTTTTAATTCACGTTTGTAATATCGCTTTGTTTGCGCGCGCGTGAGTGGGTAGGCGCTAACAGAACTTGCCCTAAAAGTCCGTCAAGGCTATACGGGGGATCTTTGTCGTTAACTAAAACTGTCGAGGTCACAATCCAGGCAAGTATTTTCGTTTTACACAAATGATTTAGTGATGCCGCTGCCACTGCTGCTGCGTCATCAACAGTGGGTGCACAAGCACAATTAACGACAACAACAAAACACCTCAACACCTTTTACTTTCATAACACCGTGGCATTAAAATAAAACCATCGGCAATGTTGTTAAAATTGTAAAAATATGTTTTAAGGCCAGTGTTATTGCCAAATGTGGAGAGTTGTTTTTGTGGTTAATTGTGCTTGTGCAACCGGTGCCAATTTGGCAGCAGCACCAAATAATTTGTCAAACGTTGGAATATTCTTAGGATGGTTGAGCCAGGTTAGTGCTTGGATGTGTGATCAGCAATGCTTGCCCGCTGTTATAGGTATCAACATCTTTATTTGTCCTAGAGGAATCCGACGAGCTATGAAGCTCTTTTTCACATATGTCCAGTCGGGGCGCGTCAGCGAGTTACATCCGAATGGGGAATTCTTGCATGTATCTGTGCGGAGCTGAGTTGGGAGGTGGCCAGGAGATGGCATTGCTGAGTGTCACCCTTCTCCGTACGTGGTGGGTTTTCTCCGGACCTCTCCGGTTTCATCCCACACGAAGCTAAAGTTGCATTCATGCAATTTACCCAAACATTCCCAATGCAAGAGGGCCCCTTCCTGAAAAATGAATACTGAGACTTAGTGAGGCTTTCCCGGATACACAAAAGGCACACGTGTTAAAGTCTCAAGGATTACCCGTCACACACTCGTGGTTTTTCACAAATGTCGAGGGGTCTCCAGGGGCCGGTGCAATGGAATCTTCACGTTCGATGCCGTGTACCTGGGACGACCACAGCCGGCCATCTGTACCGGAGAGTCTCACCGTCAGCTTGCCGATGGTTCACGTCTCGATGTGCAAGGGTCAGCTCCCTCCAAAAGCGTTGGCTCTAGTCACAGCCTTTACTTGAGAAACAAGCCAGAAACTAATAACATCCATACAAGGTGATCATTGTTTTTTTTGCCTTTTATCTGGCAACAAAACTGACACCTTTTTTTTTTTACTAGAAGTCATGTTTGCATAGACCACAATACCTGCAGTCATAATGCAAACAAAAACACACAACTCTGATAATGTCTGCACTGTCCTTGAAGTTGATTGGTCCAGACCCGAGACAGCTTTCCTTAGAGCCTAGTCTCACATGGTCTTGGACCAGATGACGCTAAAAGGCGCACCGACAGTGCATACATTATCAGAGTTATGTTTTTTTTTGCATTATGACTGCAGGTATTGTGGTCTATGCAAACATGACTCCTTGTAAAAAAAAAAAGGTGTCAGTTTTGTTGGCAGAAAAAGGGTAAAAAACAATTATCATATTTTTAACTGGCAAATAAGGTTCCAATGGTGTAAATCCATGCAAGGTATTATCGTTTAATTTACTACGCGGCAGTGGACATCAGCCTATTGCTGCTACGTAAACTCATTTATTAACGCCATCCCCCACCCACTCAAAATGTTTCTGTGACTCAGTTTCGTTGGATACCGTCTCGGTTTATTTGGTTTATTTCTCGGTTCCTTGGGTTTTCTGGCTCCGTTTCTTGGGGGGTGTCTCCCCCCCCCCCCCGCCACGGGTTTTCACTGGGGGGGGGGGGGGGCTCACTGATTTGAACCCGTTGGCGTTAACATGTAAGCATTGTTTCAAATATATATTAAAATCATAGCATTTCACCCATGCGGTAGACATGTTATCCCCACGGGCTCCTGACCTGCTCTACTAAATATATAACTGATTGCCAAACTAATCGTCGATAGAATTTGGCCAAATTCTACACAATGCAATGGGACCCACGCGAGAGAGAGAAAAAAAACAAGCATCTTGTGACTCAAGCGACGCTTGTCTTGGGCAAAATAAATCACCGGGACGTCGTGCAGAACATGTTTTTTTTTAAGATGTAATTATCATAACCCGGTGGGTTACCGCCCGCGTACGTTGGGTGCAAAAGCTGTAGGATATCAGGGACAAGGGCCATAAAATGTGTACCTTCAATAGGACACCAAATACATTTAATTGCATGTAGATCCTTACCAGCAGCAGGAGTAGAACTGCTCTGCAGTGCATGCAGCCTTGCACAATCGGCACGAATAATTGGCTCATCTCTCTCTCCTCTCTCTCATTAAAGAATTCGTCCAATTAATTAAACATGCGACGTCATTGCCGAAGAGTCCAATCACGTCCAGACACGTGAGTAACAGCAGGGAAAGATGCGTTGATCCACACCAGATGTAATAGCGTGTATTGATACACATAGAGTACAAGTATACGTATCAGAGTATACATATTAGGGTGTGTGTTATATGAGTCGACATATCGGAGCATGTTAGAATATATATATTGCTGTGTAGCTCAGTCTAAAGAAGAACGGGGCTGCCAATTGTGATGGAAACAGTTGAAATCTTGGCCAGGAGCTACACGGTATCGTCATCATCAATGTCATCATCGTTGTCAGCATCATCATCATTATAAACCCAAGAAAAGGATGACCCTCAAGACTCGTTAGCAGAGATGGGCCCTACATGTGGGACATTTGGTCAATTCCGTTTTAAATCAATGCGTGTCTGGATTTCGTGTTTGCAGAAAACGGGAGAGCCCAGAAAAACCCCCATTATACACACGAGGGGGATAGCACACTCAAGAGAGTTGCACAGATAGATTCAGGAATCCATTGCTCGATGTACTTCTATCCCCTCGCCACCTTCGCAGCCCCAGCCTACGAAGTCTCCTATTCAAGATATAACCAGGCTCAAGTCTGCCAAGCTTCTGAGATCGGGGAGATGTGTTAATATACCTTTAACTAGGTCCCAAATCTTAACAGAGAGGACCTCGGCCTAAATCGATTGCCCATTCACGAGTAATGATTCAAGCAAGCCTGACCCTGCTGATGAGACATCTCACGTCAAAACCGGTCCAGAGTGTTGCTCGTACTGAATCAATGCTGCTGAAATTGCTCACCCCGCCACAAAGCCGTGGTGCCGATGGGTTGCATAAAGAATTATTTATTTTTTGTGGAGAGCCTTATTTGTCCTCTGCTGATTAAAATTTTGAAATGTCAGTCGTATAGGGCAATAATTACAAACGCCGTAAGAGGTTCGTGGAGTCGGACTAAAGCAACATCACCATGCAAGGGATTCATTGCCGAGACACACGCGCATGCATGTTAATTACATACGTACACACAGCATATATCCACGACAGTATAACAAGGCGAAATATATCCCTTCTAGCCTTGAACTGACTGTCGGGGCAAGTGCTGTTAGCGAGCATAGATTATGCCCGACACGCCACACGAGCGTGGAAAGAGGCCAGTACACCCCACGCCCGGCCGTCTTTGTCTCCCCACTGCTGATGTTTAAACACACTGCCCCAGGCACACATTTAAGGCTGAGTCTACCTAGGGGAGGCCCAGAACCGGCGGCGTGGTGTGCCAACCGGCACGCCACGGCTCCCGAAAATGCATTGCTGTATTCACATCTACATAAAACACAAATATATACACACACACATTACGTGTGCGCACACACACACACATATCAAACAAAGACACGCACACACACGATACGCGTACACATGCTCGCATTTGTGTGATGACGGTGACGATGGTGCCAATTATCTAGCCAGGAAAACCTCAGCGAGTCTCAAGACTTGCTGAGGGAGGGTCCTGCCACACTGGGATGATGCCCCCCCCCCACACACCTGGGACCCCCCCCCTCACCTGAGCCCCCCCACCTGCCCCCCCATCTGTATCCCCCCCATCCGCCCGTTCCATTCGTCAAGCACCACGCCGCTATCCACCAAGGAGGTAACCCCCAACACCGCCATCTCCCGGCCACACCTCGCAGCCCCACGCCTACAGCACCTGGCAAGCCCTGGATGGTGCTCGCCCATCCATGTACTGACCAGGCTAACAAACCAAAAAAATCCTGCTTAGCTTCCAAGGTCCGACGCGCTCGGCCTCGTTGTATTGCGATCATCATCCTGGTTGAAGGCAACGACAAATGATGTTGATGCCGATGATGTTGATGATAATGTCCATGATGATGTTGATGATGATAATGAGAATATTTATGATTTTTATGATGCTGTTGATGATAATGTGATGACAATGTTAATGATGTTGACGATGATGGTGTTGGTGATAATGTGATGATGACAATGTCCATGATGATCATGTCGATGTTGTTAATAAATTATGACGATGACGACGTTCATGATGGTGATCACAATGTCTAGATTCTCCCGTCGTTTCGACGGATAAGTAATACAAATGACACGTTTATGGTGTTGATAGTGACAGTGTTGATGATGATTTAGTTGATGATGTTGATAATGATAATAATGATGATGTTGATAATGTCTTTGATGATACTGTTAATCATGGCAATGTTGATGATGTTGATAATGGAAATGTCGATGATGACGATGCATTTCATGATGATAATGGAAATTTCGACGATGTTGAGTATGACAATGGCGACGTTGATGCTTGAAGATGATGACAATGTTGATGATGATTATGATGATGATGATGCCATGTAATGGGGAAGCCAGCCGAGCAGCTGAACACCTCACCGGTGTGAATCCTCTTGCTAGTCACCCCTTGATCCGTCGCGTCTTCCAGAGGCCGCTTGCGGGACTCATAATGGATGTCCACCTCCACAGCACCCACGTCTCCTCCATCCTGCTGCTGCTGGTGGTAGTGCTGGTGAAGCTGCTGACTGGACGCCATGGCGCTGGTGCTGTCCGGAACGCGGTGCTCACAGTGCGGATTTGATGCACGCGATATGCGCTCGCAGTCTCTCATCATTCCATGTCCGTCATTGTATGGAAATCGCTCCTCGCTCTGCGTCTGTCACCCCCTCCCGCGTGTCTCCGTGTGCGTGCGTTTGTGCCTTCCTCTCGGTGTCCCTCTATCTCCCTCCGTCTCCCCCTCGCTGCGTCTCCTCGTGTGAGCTTCCTCTTTCGTGTATTCGTCTCGATGCGCCCGCGTGCGTGCGCCTGTGCGCGTGCGTGTGTTCCTTTGTGCGTCTCTACGTCTCCGTCTCCCTGTGTCCCGCTCTGGGGGTTTCTGTCTCCGTTTGTGAGTCCCTCTGGCTCTGCCTGTATCTCCCTCGTTTGAGTCTCCGTGTGTGGCTCACTCCGTGTTTGTGCCTGCGTGTCCGTCTGGTCTGCTGTGCGGTGTACGTGTGTCCCAGTGCGTATGTCTATCCCGTCTGCGTGTGTGTCCGCCCGAGTTTGTCGTTCATCCGCTCAGCGTGATCTCCGTCGCTCTCTGCCTCCCTCCCGTCGATACCTCCGTCTGCAGAGTCTGTATCTCTCCCGCGTGACCCACGTGTGTCTGCAATCCGCTTGCTCTGCGCAAACAGGCGCAGCGAACTGTGATAGCACGCGCGCCACTCTCCCCCCCCACACTCTCCCCTACCCCAGCTCCCCTTTTGTCGCAAGATCCCCTCTCTCTCTCTCCCTTCTCGCTCTCTCTCTCCGACGCAGACTCGGCGGTAAGAGTTGTATAGAGCTGGAGAGAATGCACGCACAATCAGGGCGCTCTATTCCCTCGCTCACCCCTATTCGCTCTCTCCCTCGCTCATGTCTCACTCCAAGCCTCTCTCTCAAATGCGGACGCAACCTTTAATAGAACGCAGCAACAGCAGAGATAAACCACGCATAATCAATGAGCTATCTCGCCCCCTCTCTCTCCTCCCTCTCCTCTTAGTATCTCTCGCTCTACCATGCCTCGCCGGCTCTCTTTCTCTCTCCTCCCCCACGTTTTCCACACTCTCTCTCACCCCCTCCCTCTCTCCCCCCTCCTCTCCGTTCTCTCGCCTCTCTACCCCCCCCCCCATCTCATTCGCTCTCTCCTCCCACTCGCCTCTCTATTCTATTCTCCCACCCCCACCCCTTCTCTCTCCACTCTCTCTTTTGGCTCTCTCCAACTCTCCCCCCTCTCCTGCCTCTATCAGCACCCCTCCTCCCTCTACCCCCCCCTCTCTCTCCTGGCTCTCCCTCGCCACTCGCCCCCCTCTTTCTGCTCCCCCCTGTGTTGATCTCTCTCCCCCCTCTCCGCTCTCCGCTCGTGAATTCACCAATCTCCCTCCAACACAGCGCCCTCTGCACCCACACGAGAACACAGAATACAAACAAAGACAACGTTCCCCCGTGTAGCCTTAACAAACTGTAGGGGCAAGTGCTGTTGGCGAGCACCCATGAAGGCCGGTACGGCACACGAGGGGGTGGGTGGCCAACAACACGCCCGGCCGCCTTTGTCTCCCTAGTCGCGATGCTTACACACCGCACGAGGTACTCATTTGAGGCTGAATCGACCTAGGGGATGACCAGGGCCGGTTCAGATAATCGTTACCGGTGTTGGTCGTGAGCGGGAATCGAACTAGGGTCCCTGGGTTCGTAGCGCAGCGCGCTAACCGCTACACCACCTCTGCCCACACCGAATACAATGACAAAGTTCCCCCGTGTAGCCTTAACAAACTGTTGGGGAAAGTGCTGTTTGCGAGCACCTATGAAGGCCGGTACGGCACACGAGGGGGTGGGTGGCTAACAACACGCCCGGCCGCCTTTGTCTCCCCAGTGCTGATGTGTACACCCCGCAGCAGGTACTCGTGGAAGGCCACTGTTATCGGACGTGAGTGGTAGGTCGCTGTGTTTGTAGCGCGGTGCGCTAACCACTGCGCCACCACTCCGCGCACAAAGCAACCGCGCGCGCGCGCACACAGCGTGTGCAATGAGATGCGAGGCACGTGCAGGCGTGATGACGCGTGATGACGCGTCTGCAGGGACGATCACACGCATTCGCAGCGGCTCTGCGGTGATGTTGATCCCGTTGTTGTTGTTGATCTGCAATGCTAGATTGGATAAATAAAGTACGTGGAGTCGAGGGCGGTGTGTGTATGTGTGTATCGACGCGTGGGGAGCGGTGGCGCAGAGGTCAGCGAGCTCCGAAACCCCGACGATCCGAGTTTGATTCCCGCTCACGGTCAACACCATTGACGATTATCTGAAAGGGTCCTAAGCCTCCCCTATGTCCACTCAGACACAAATAGGTGCGATGTGTAAACGCCGCCCCTCGGGAGATAGAGGCCACCAGGCGTGGTGTTGGCCACTCACCCCCTCGTGTGCTCTGCCGGCCTTCATAGGTCCTCGCGAACAGCACTTAGCCCAACAGTTTCTTAAGTCTATACTTTCCCGGAGAACCTTTGTCTTTGTGTATAAATACTCAGAGCCACACAGGCGTCTCTGGGTGGCCCGGGGCTCATTCCCCGGGCGGGTGTGGGGGGGGGGGGTATGCCACGTGCCCCCCCCCCCCCCTGATCCACGAGTGACGACAACAAGGTCCATCTGCGAGGCCCTCTTCTGTTTGAGACCCCGGGGCAAATTGTTGGCGGAGGTTGGGGGGCGGGTGGGCAGAGCATGTGGCATGGGGGGGGGGAAATATTCCATGAGAAACGAAAGCTCTGGATAGATCCACGTACATACAAAGACAAACACACACACACACGTGAGCTAATCTGGTTGTAACCAATATCCGCGGCGGTGGTCCTTCTCGGACGCGTTTTCCTCTTCGGCATCCGATCCGTCAGCAGTCTCCGCCCCGAAGTCAACGCGAGGCCGGTCTCGGCCCTTCGATGCAGAATTGGGGAACGCGCTGTGGAAATCCAAATCAAATCTAAAAGAAATCCATCCAACCGCGCACGGAAAATCAACCCGGATTCCGCCTCCCACGACGGCGACGGGACCTCGTCACACCGGATCCGCACGGGGGCCATGGAAGGCGTGGACATGTCGTGGAGATTGGACCACAAGGGAACCCTCGAACGTGATCATCCCGACCGGACAATGGAGCAGCGATGACAAACGCGCTCGCTCGGCTGCCCCAGAAACAAAACAAGCATGTTGGCAGGAGGCACGGCCGGTTGACACAATCCAGTGACTGGCCAAACAATGAAATGGTTAACCAGCCAATTCAATGGTTAACCAGCCAATTCAATGGTTAACCAGCCAATTCAATGGCTAACCAACCAATCCAGTGGCTAACCAACCAATCCAGTGGTTAACCAACCAATCCAGTGGTTAACCAATGAAATGGCTAACCAACCAATCCAGTGGTTAACCAATTCCATGGCTAACCAACCAATCCAGTGGTTGACCAATTCAATGGTTAACCAACCAATCCAGTGGTTAACCAACCAATCCAGTGGTTGACCAATTCAATGGTTAACCAACCAATCCAGTGGTTAACCAACCAATCCAGTGGTTAACCAATGAAATGGCTAACCAACCAATCAGGTGGCTGACCAAGCGAATTTAACTTCTAAATTGCTGCTCTATATCAGCCAGACGAAGAAGTCTTTGCCCATCGCTCATCGCGTCCTCTCTCGCCACGAAGCTTCCTGCCCAACCCCATTTACGCCCTCCCTTGAGCCGATGCCGAACAAACCCAACACACTCGTCGATGACGCCGTGGCCTCAAAATGGAAAATATAATGTTGAGGCGACGTTTCGGGCAATGGCCCTTCACGCCGCCTATTTTAAGGCCACGCAGTGTTACTGACGATGATTGTGTCGGTTGCTGCGTTATTTTGTGCGTGTGCACGACCGTCAACGCAACAGTCGTAGCATTCATCTTCTTGGTTCTTTCGGTAAAGTCACGTAGAAGGGAAATAAAAAAAAAAATTTTACATAATGAAATAATATAATAAAATAATAACTTTTTATATTGCATTACTATATTATTTTATTATGTTTGATTTGTATTATTCTATTATTTCCCTTCTACGTGACTTTACCGAAAGAACCAAGAAGATGAATTCCCTGCAGTCACGAAAGCTTTACATCGAAAAGTCGTAGCATTTCCAACACAATGCGTGTAAGCCCTCGAACCGGCGCGTTTCCTCGAAGCCCACGAGTTCCCCAACCCTCCCCGGCGCAGTTCCCGATGCGGCAGCGTGCACACCTCCACTCGTGCGTCCCACTCCTCCTCAACTGTACCGCTGCCCGCGTTCGTTGGCTCGTTTGTTTGCCCTCCCGCGGATTTCCACCGCCGTCACTTTCCAGCAGCGGCCGCGGCAGCAGCCGCCCATCGCGAATCAATGTAACGATCAATTTTCTTAGGTTTTTTCGGTAAAGTCACGTAGGTAAAAATTTTTAATTAATAAAAGTTAAATAAAAATAAAATAAAAATCACGACGTTTCGGAGGCAACACAAGCTTCCGTCTTCAGGTGGAACCGTCACAGCACGACAGCTGAAGACGGAAGCTTGTGTTGCCTCCGAAACGTCGTGATTTGTATTTTATTTTTATTTTATTTAACTTTTATTAATTGTAATTTTTTACCTACGTGACTTTACCGAAAAAAACCTACAAATATGAATCCTTGCAGTCACGAAAGCTTAAAATCTAGAATTAACGATCAATTATCACCGGGCGGAGTGAGGGGGGGGGTCCGTGGTAGCCCCCCCTCCTCTCTCCCAGCCTATTAATAACGAGCCCATCACGTGTCTGTGGGACTCGGGGGGGGAGGGGGGGGGCAAGCGGCGGAGAATAGTTCAGGGCGATAGGGACCCACATTGCCCTTAGGCTGCCTCTGTGAGCCGCATTCGCGCCGCAACCAACAATAAGGGGCCGTCCATAAATGACGTCACGCACCTAGGGGGGGGGGGGTCAGACATTTGTGACGATGTGTGACGAGGGGGGGCTGGTTGAGAAATGTGACGTCACAACAAAATGCGCAACTTTAACAAAAATATAGAATTGTTATAACAACACTAATTGTTATAACAGCACTCCCACAACATCAGAGTGCAGCGCCACATTAAATACGCACTACAATGACAATAGTTTAAAGCGATTTGAAGCATGTTTTATTTTCAAAATGGAAATATGGTTTGGGGGGGGGGCAGAGCTTTGTGACGTCATATTTGAGGGGGGGTCTGACTTTTTGTGACGCCGTGTGACGAGGGGGGGGGGGGGAAATCGTCCAAAATCGCGTGACGTCATTTATGGACGGCCCCTAAGCAGAAGCCGTTCGTCACTGAGTGAGAGTGGCATCATCACAGTGTTTAAATTATTATTTGGCGAGATGTTAACTACCTCGTTTGCTAGACATGAAGTCGTGGGTTCGGTCTCGAGCCTGGCGCCTGTTGTATATTTGGAGTCTGCGTGGTCTCCCTCCCCGTGGTTTCGTGGATTTTTCTCCGGGTCCTCCGGGTTTTCCCTCCACATTTTACATCAACATGCGTTTATAAGATGATTTTGCCGCTATAAATGTCCACGTGATAAGCCACCTCCTTGAGCTATCGTTTGTCGGCAGGTCGCGTCTGACAAATAAGCTAATAGCTGACTGGGCTTTACCTGGTAAGATAAAAACAAATGTTGAGTTGTATTTGTATATATTTTGTATATATGTGATAATTTTAC